AAATTTGACAGCTCTTTGTGTTTGGGAGCTCTCTGAGCACCGGAATGAAGAGGAAGGGCAGTATACGATCAGTGCAGTCAGTGAACATATAATTTATACAGTTGGAAATGGCTGATGGTAAACTTCCCTTTTATAGCTCTGTTCAGTAATGTCATGTCCTATATAGTGCCACGTTAGGGTTCTGTAGCAGACTTTCAGTCATATGACTGTCTTTGCACTAAAGACTTCCAAAGGAAACGTATGCTTTAGCTGCCTGAACTTTCTGGATGTTCCCTCTCTTACCAAATTGTAAGCATTTTTAGGCTGTCCACCAGGGTCACAGCCGTGTCACTTACCTTGGTATATATAATGTATATGTAACTACTATTAAGAAAAAAAGTTTAATGGAACTTAAAATCTATTCATGTAGCTGTCTGGAAATGCACATGGACATCACAGCTGAGCCTCATTCCTGACAGAGCTGAAGCTCTGGTTTCAGCCATAGCTTGGCAGGCAGAGCCATCTGCTGTTAACTCAGTACAGCAGTAGGGCCCTTTCAGCCCCTGCTGCTCTCTGGCTGCTTGCAAGCACTTAGAAGCAGCAACAAACTTCATTGCTAGTGGAAGGATAACTTATCAAGTAGGTGCCTTCCATCCTGAAATGGATGGTCCTCCAACCCTCTTTCCAAAACTCAGGAGAGCGCCACGGGGGTGAAGGTAGTAACAGGGAGTATTCACAAATCTACCTATCCATCATCCAGAAGTTTTGTGAGGTTTTATTTGCTATTGTAACAAAATCAGTGACAAATTAGTATTCATTATTTTGGCAGGTAGGTTTTGAACGCAGGCAAGGTGGACAGTGTTAAGAATCCATGTCCCTAATGTTTGTGCTCTTCTCTTTCATTGTTGCATTCTCTTTGCACTATTTTTGCCTGACTGTGGCTCTTTGTTTGCCTACAGTAATTCCTTTGTATGGCCCCGTGGTTTGACAACACATTGTTATTCTCATGGACCCTGTCAGTCCCCAAAAGGTGCACTCATGTGACTGAGGGGCCTCTGTTAATTGTAGAATCACAGGAATTTCTAGAACCCAGCAGATCACCGCTCCACTTTGTCCCTCATCCCGCCTCAGACTGTGAGGATGCTGGGGGGGGTTAAAGGAAACATAAACACTGTGCTGATTTTAGGTGTGTCTAACTATACCTTCTCCCTTTTTAAATACCTAAATTCCCTTTTTAAAAAAGAAAGTAAAGAAAATAGTCACCTGTGGCTTTCTTCTCAACAAAGATTGATTTGAAAGCAAGATATAGTAGATTCTGTTGCTTTCTCACATAGTTTTTTTGTGCAGCTGAAAATGCACTGGATTCACCGTGCAAAGTTCCCAAGAGCCTTGTCAAGGATAGAGCTGAATGTGTCTTTTACAGCACAATTGTTATAACTCTATATGACATAGTAGGAAAAGCTTGACTTACTGATCACCAGTTTAGGTCCTGAAGCGTGAAAGCAGGTAGAATTTCTTGATAACAATAAAATAGTTCTGCATGATTTGTTGTCACAATTATGCTTTTGCAAACATAAACAAATCAGAATTCGCTGAAAGCATCTAATCAAGTGTTGAAAACCTGAGAGTGAGTTTACAGCTTCTTGATTGCTAATTCTTGCAAATAAAAGGAACAGTAGATAAAGATGTAAATGCTCATACTGAATCTCAAGCAGTCCTGCCTTTGGTCTTAATTAATATATGCAAGTTTTGTGTAATTTCCCTTCTCAGTAGTTTAACGTCAGCTTCGACTGAGCAACATCTCTTGCTACTTCTAGAAGATACTTTTTTTACTAAAGCTAGAATTATTGCATGTAGGTTACATGTATTTTTTTAAAGTAATTTTTTTGGAAATTGCTATCTTTGTATGATCAAGAAAATACTCTAAATGCAGGTAGGTACAATGGGGAAATGTAATTTTTGTTATGTGTTAAATACTATACACAGATGTGAATCAGTTTTTTCCTGCCAATATATTGCATATATGTGTATATCTTTTTAAGGCCATCTCTGCTGTTAAATGGAAATAAATGAATTAAATCAGAATTTTTAGGATATATAAATAGTTGAGCCAGGCTGGCTATCTTCCAGTGCTGACCCTGTACAATCAGAGGATATTGATGGGAATAGCTACGCCCACTTCATCCTCCTGGATAATCCTTCCTACAATACTCCAGCAGAAAGCAAGTAAACAACTAGAAGTAAACAGCCCCCAAGCTTTGACACCTGATGAAAAGCTCCAGCCCACGGTTGTGCTTTAGAACAAATTCTGACCTGTCTAAGTTTGAACTCTTAATTTCTGTAGTAAAGCAGTTGGTTACAAAGTCTTACTAATTTGCAGCATAAGTCTTCTGTCATTGTGATTTCTACTAATATAGGGAAAATACTAGCTATTTAAACACTAGTCGCCTGTCTTCAGCATATTATCCTTAAGTGGTAAGTCTGGAACAGGTCCATGCATGCAAATATCTGCCCTAAAGACCATATCATCTGCCTTACTGACATAAATTTAGTTGTTTTGAGGATTTTTTGTAGATTTTCACTGCTAAGAAATTCAGCCCTATGTGTATTCCCTTCCAATTGCTAGATCGTCTTTATATTTAAATTGATTTTTAGGAAAATATCTATTTATTCACCTCAAGACTGTTAAAACTCTTTTATCTCACAAAAGTTAACAATTATGGTCGGTTATGGGTGGGAATTGGAAAACACGCCTCAGCCCTTTTTTTTAGAACTATTATGAATAGCTGGAGAGAATAGCTGAATAGCTGTAATCTTTTGAAAAGATTAAAAATTCATAAGGGAATAATAACATCTCCATTTTTACTTAATTAACAGAATTCCCAAATCTGAAAAAGACTGTATTACCCCTATTAACATGTTCTTTTATAATATAATACTTGCTGTAAACCCTGAGGTGAGAAAGTCACCAGATGTTTGGGGCTTTATTATTTTCCTTTTTTTCTGGAGGCGAATTCTTAGCAGATATTGAAAAAAATATCTCAGACAATGAATCTTGAAGGTGAAAATGATATTTGAAAATATTGCTTCTCCCCACCTATCTCACCATGGTCAAATTTTATCACAAAGCATAGCAGTACCCCCAGAGAATTGAAGCGTGTCACTCAGACCTGGGATGTGGTTGTAAGCAGGAATCAGCATAGCTGAAATGAGTGGGACGGAAATAGGAGTGTAACATGATGGACCGGAGATCTCAGAGGTGATTACACCCACCTGCTTCTCATCCCATGGCTTTTTACAGTCATTGTAATATTCCTGGCACATATAGTATATGAAGGTGATTGCTTGAGAGATAGACTTGTCTTGAGCAGGGAGTGGATGAAGCATAAATCAATTCAAATGTAATAGAGGAAAAGTGAAATTAATACGGCTGGTACTCAGGATATTTGTTACTGTCAGCAAAGCTGCACGCACTCGTGTCACACGAGGGTAATCTGATTTGTGCTTCTATATTATCTGGGGAAATCTCTGAGCAATGCAGCACCATACAGTGGAGGTTTTGATTGACTTATTCAGACCGTGTAATATTCAAAAAAAGTCATTTAAGCAAAATCTTTTATTTTAAAACAGCAGCAACAATAACAAAGCTGTTGCTTGTGACCTGTCTGCAATATTTGTGTGGAGACTAGTATGCCCTAGGCAAGGTGAACTGCAGGGTAGATGTACCTCATCTTTGGGGTAGTTCCAGGTTAGATTTGAAATGTTCATGCCAAACTCTGTAGTTCTCAAAACCAGTACAAAAAGGTTATTGGATTGGATTATTGGAGCAGCCTTGCTGCAACTGCCCTGGGTAACCATGACTGTGGGGCATTTTCCACTATTTGAGGTCTCTAAATTGAATGCAGGTAATCAACTATTGACATCAGTTGATCACACAGGTTTATAAATAATGGTTGAATATTGTTTTGAAAGAGATACTATTGTTCAAATCAACTTGGGAGTAATAAAATAATTTGGGAGTAGTGCCACAGCTGCTGCATTAATAATTTCATTAATTTCCTGCATAGAAATTACACTACATGACAGTTTCTCTTTCAAATTTCAGAACTGTTAATAACCTTAACTATTGTAGGCCAGGCAAAGGTCAGGTAGTTAATCCTGAAAAAAGCTGATAGTATAAAGTTGCTCCTGTTAGCAGGAGATTCCAGGTTTTTGCCTATTAAAAAAAATATATTTATGAACCTTCTTTATCTGTAACAATTACAATATTCTAAAAATGTGATAAAATACATCTTCTTAATACAGAAGCCTAGAAAAATAAAATAAAAAAGAAAAAGAAAATAAGCTTAACTTACAGAAAGCAAACAAGGGGACAGAAGTAGGATAGGATATATAGACCCAACAACAATTATTTTCTTTGAGACTCTTTGTGGAACCGAACAAGGAAAATCCTTTAAAATATGGAGATATGCTGAAGATGTTCCCTCTGACTCTGGTGGGAGATGGCTCTGGTAATAGGATGGAGCTGAATGGTGTCTTGCTGATGGTCTGAAAATCTGCTTGCTCTGCTTTTCTGGTGTAGTGTGACTATGCCAGAACCATAGTTATGTTTTATAGGAAATGAAAATAGAGAGTTAAAATGAAATGTAATAGTATCATCTGCTGACTGTCGAGGTAAGTAGAAAAACTTCTGGCAGCTGCAGAGAAAGAATTGTTGTACTTCTAAGAATTTTGGTGCGACCTGGAATTATCTGTGTGTATATGTTAAAATTATGATTAGCGAGGGGTGACAATTAGGATTCCTGGTAGTAAACATGATGTTCTAAATGTGCAGCTTGTTTAAAATGCCATGGTTTCATGAAAATGTGGAGCAATCCTGCCTGAACATGCCTAATATAACTATAAAGGAAGTATTACATTAATAGTGGGCATTTGTTCTCTTAATCTATTTCTTATGTTTTTGATTCATATGCTTTTCAAATTAGATATAATAATTTCGATTTTGCTTTTTTATGTTTCAGCGAATTCGAGAACTAGAAGATAAAATTGAACTTCAGAAGAGGCAACTCAAAGAAATTGAAGAAAAGGTAAATAAATGCCTGGGCAAACAAAAATGAATTTTTGTTTCCATACTAATTTATTTTTCACTGTTGCATTGATTTTAATAGTACTTAACCTAATATCATGAAGTCTACTTTAAAACAAGAAAGATAAAATTCAAGTTCAAGTCATTGCTACATGAAATTAGGCTCCCTCCCCAATCTACTCAAAATTACTTGATATCTGGATTTTCTATCAAATACAGAAAGGAATCAAGTGGTCTTGGAAAGACACTAGACTAGAAGGGGGAGGATTTGCTGAGGTTTAAATCAAGAAACAACAGAAAGGTTTGTCTCTGTTTGACAGAAGCAGTTAGCTCTGTTCTTTGGATAATACTGCTTTGCAAAACTTGCAAATACTGAAAATTAAACAAAAAGTTAATGAGGTGCATGTGGTGAACACTGCAAACAAAAAAATATTTCTTGCTTTAAGGTAGAAACAAGTTCCAAATTAATATCCCAGTTCCAAATTTTCTCCTCTTTTGAAGAAGCTCTGATTGAGGCTTAAGGCAGCAAAAGTATTTGGGTCACTGTGCGCCCAAGCAAGAGATGGCTCGAGGTTCGTGGACCAGGGCCTCAAGTGTTTCCCAGGTTTGAAGAGTTCTGCAGGGCATAGGCTGACAACGGGGCCTTCTCTAAGCTCTAGCTAAATGTTATGGTTGCATTGCTTTTGCTAAACCAATGCCTTGATCCCAAGATGAGTCACATCATCTCATTTTCTCTGGTATGTACCAGAGATCATGGGTACAAACCTGCTGCTGGGCTGAATGGAGAAGTTAGGGGAGCTTTCATTCGTCATTTTTTTCTTTTGGGATCAGAACAGGATAAAAGAGCAGAAGTAAGGCTTTTGGAGGACTCTGAATGGGAGTTGAAGGACGTCAGTGAGGTTTGCAAAACTGAGAGAGTCTTTGAGAAGCAGCACACTGCATGTGGGCAGGTTTCTTCCTCACCCTTCGCTAATCTCACTGTCCCTTCCCCTGCTGTTGGGATGTGGCAGTCCCCGCTGTGTCCCCCTCTGGCAGCCCACCCTTCTAGCGGCTCCAGTTCCCTCAGCAGCTTCTTCGGTCCCTTCTGCTCCCACAATATTTGTCTCCTCTCTGCAGTACCTCGTCCTGCACTTTTTGAACTGTGATATCCAGCTGGGTTTGGGGAAGAGCCAGAAGAGCTGTAAGGAGCTGGGCTGTCTGTTGCTGATTGTCACTTTACATCACCCCCACTGCTCACTGGCTGAGGCTGTTCTGTCTGTATCCATCAGGGAGGTGGTGGTCCCCGTTTCCACCAGCAGACAAACATAGGTAGTGCCCACCCCTTAAAGGGCTCTTTTGCTGCGTTTACCCTCTTCTGCCCCAGACCACTTCTATACCTGCAGCCAGCCGTGTCTAAGATGCTACAGTTAACTCCTCATGGTAGAGAAACCTTGAGGGACAGGGGATATCTCTCCATGTTAATTATTGCAAATATTAGTGTTTTTCCACCTAAGCAAAATGTAAGCCTTTAATCATTGCCATTACGGTAAGAGAGTAGATGCTGGATTAGACAGACTGCTAATTTTGCAAATGGAAGTTAACATTATCTGTGCTGATTCATCAGTGCAATGGGTGGGGAAAAGTATTAGAAAAGAAACAGCTTAATCACAAGCTTAGCAGAAAGCTGGTAACAAGGTAAAATGATTAACATTTTCTTTGCCTTAATGTTACGCTAACAGGAGATCTTAAAAAAGCTTCATCATTTTCTGTGATCTCCTGGGTTGGTGGAGGGCTTCCTTCTATCTGTATTACATTTGATTTTTTTTTTTCCTTGGGATTAAATCCCTTTCTGAATTTGACTGCCTGAAGGAAGTGTAGTCAGAGAATCAATGAATGATGTACTTCTACTTCATTGTTCGGTTTAATATGTCAGTGGGTGCAGACTGACACCTGCATGCTGCTGATACTGACCACAATAATTTCTCATGGAATGAAGTCTTATGCTTCTGAAGGAAACATTTATAGCTGAGCCTTATTGCTGGTTGTAGCTAAGGACAATCCACCACTTATAGTTATCCTGTCATAAGTTCGGCTTTTTATTTTCCTTTAGGAATGGATTAAATTTTCAAGTTTTATGTAAAATTCTGTCAAATCAGAACATAAGGATTACAGTATTTTTGCTCTATAGATTTTTCAGCAAACTGTTCTGCTTCTAAAGGCTACACAAAAGAATAATGTAAAATCTGTTTTATTCTATGGGTTGATACATGAAAAACAAGTGCTGTTAAAACACATCATGCTTCTCTCATAACTGATTCTCTACCATTTAAGTTGCATTCAGTTCGTGCCCTTGGCTTGGTAAGTCTTGGTTCAGAAAAGCTTTTGGGCATGTAATTATAAGTACTTCCTTAACGGAGTCACAGACCTGAGCCTAATATTTCTGAAGTTACCTAATCCACAAATGTTACCGTTTGTAAAGTTGCCCTCAAATACTGAATTTTGTATCCCTTTTTAGAGTTAGATTGATACCTTGTATCTCTCTTTCAGATCAACCCAATTAATATTGATGTAAGACTAACTGCTCTAAACTAATGTCATTGGATTTCATATTACATATCTTACATCTTTTTTCTTTTCTTTTTTCCTCATTTTCTTTTGATCTTATGTTATAGTTTTTGTTCCTTTTTTTGTTTTTTTCACTAGCATTCATTCTGTGGCCTTGATGACACAACTGAGCCAAGACGTGTGGTTGGTATTCTTTATATTTCTTTGTACTAAATTTTTAACTTTTAGATTTTGCCATGTTTTGAGAATTGTCTTCATAAGACCCTGAAACCATCAGGGAGGGTATAACTGGTTTTGCTTGCACAGAGAGGAAGAATCACCTGTAAAATCCGTCTCGGATGCCTTCAGTTACCTTCCTAGAATTCTGCAGAAGGTCATTGAGTTTTCAATGAGATATGATTTTGCATTCTAAGATACTGACTGCCCTAACTGCAGTGGGTGCTTTTCAGTTCTGCAGAGAAGGTATATAGCAGAATTGTCTGAAATTTCAGGTATTTCTGTAGGATCCTACCTTCTGTCGTGCTGGATGGAGGGGTGGCAAACACTCTTTGGTTTTCAGTTTCATTTTCTAAAAAACCCTGCAAGCATCACCACCCATACAAAAAGGGGTTCATTTTACTTCCTCAAGATCCCTGAATCCACAAAATAACTTAGGAAATAATAACCTGATTTCCCTTTTATGAGGTGATGATGAGGGTTGCGATGTGACTTAAGCTCCATGTACTCATGCAACGGGCCAGGGTAAGAAACCTCCTTGTCTCTCCCTTGAGACACTGCCAGCATTCCCCCTATCCTTTCCATGGTGTCCTGGGCCTTTCAGCTCAGTGCAGAAGACAGAGTGGATTTCTTCAGCTATAGCAGTCTCCATAGTGGCAGTGGTCACCTTTCGCACAGAACAAGTGGGAAATGCAATTTAGAAAATCAGTCCTAGCCCTCTTCCTCGGAGCAATGCAAGTTGCACACTGCTGTTCCGTGAGGATGGAAACGCAACAGCCTGCTAGAGATTTAAGCTATGGTTTAAAACTATTAAATATTTACAGTCTTTTTATTGTTGCTGTTGAAGTTTTATTTTGTTTTTAAACTGAAAATACAGTGGTTTTATCTTTACAATTTTGCCAGGTTTTTTCTTCTTTGGGATCTGTTGTGAATTATGTTCATAGAATGTCCTTATGGTAGGAGATGCAGTTAATCAACCCCTTTGAAACTGCTCTCAAGTACTGTGTGAAGAAGAAACATAATGTCACTAGTGACCCAAAAAAGCTATTATATTTCTCTTTCATTGAGCTTGAAACAGTATTTTCTTCTGCCCAGATCATGAGTACTTTTGAAAAATCAGATTGGTATTATCACGGGCACTTTGGGGGGTTTATTCAGCTCCCAATACATTCAGTTATGAGCTTTCTGTTGATGCTTTTGGGAACTGAGCATCAGTTGGGTCTATCTTTCATCACTAGCATTGCTGCATATGTGATATACTTTGCAATAACATGATGGTAGATGCAGATGGGTAGAATGCAATCCAAGGGTATTATTGATTTGTTATAAGTGCAGTAGCTTTCTTTTGGTTGCTAGATGGGTGTTGAAAAGTAATTGAAATTGAGCAATATTTTTACAGCATTTTTATCTTTCCTTTTGAAATTTCCTTTATTTTGTCAAAAATTGAGTACATGGTTATAGCGATGTGTTTGAAGAAAGAAGCAGCCTTGTGGTACACTATTCACTTTACCGCAATCTGAGCTGGATTTTCTGTTCTGTGGAGATTGGAAAGGACAGATGCTATTTTGGTTAATGAAAGTTTGAAAGAAAGTCACCAAACTATTGTCTTTGAGTTTCGTCCAGAATTTTTACTCAAGTCAGGGTTAGAGGTGCTAAAATGTGGATGAACATATTTGTTTTTAAACACTGTGAAAAGTACACTGACCAAGTTTAGAGACAATTTATAAGCATTCTATAAACTTACTGACATCACCAAAATTATTCAAATTCCATTTTAAATATTTTGAAATACTGTTAGTTCAAAAATTTTTATGAGTTCAAGGCTTAGGTCTGATCTATAGGCTTTTGTGCTGATAGAGCTAATTGTATCATGGGTCCCCACTGAGAAATAAAAAAAAGGAAATTACAAATATAATTAGTCTCCAGAAAATATATTGTGCAGATGTAACCTGCTATTCTTCCTATTAACAACAACTATTTAAGCAGTTAAATTCAAGGTTGGTGAGAAGCATTTTGAGGTGCTACCACAGGGATAATGGCTGTGTAGCCATACAGTGACTCAACTCTCACATTTCTAGGAGCGCGCATCATGTTGTGGTGCTATTGTGGGGCAATTTCCTTTAACTCATCTTGCCAGAGGTAAATCTGTCTCTGATTAACATAACACAGCAAAGCCTATTTTAAGAGACTTAACTATAGTTCGACTCTAGAACATTGTTCTTTATGTCAAGGTAAATCAGGTGGTTTACTAATAACAATTTTAGTTCTTGTTATTTTGAAGGTAATATAAACTTTAGAAAGAGATTGTAATGTCTGTGAATTTAGGGCTGGATGCCAACACTTATTTCTAAATTAATGTTACCTATCTAAAGCTCAGCAGACTTTTTTCTTCTTTGTTGTTTTTTGTTTTCTGTTTTTGTTTTCTGTACAGGCTATTAAAAGAACCTATGGAGTGAACAGCTGAGTCCACATGCAAAAACATAGAAAATATTTATTAAGCAGCTTTAAATTGGTGCATTTTTTTCATAAACAAGTTTGCATAATACTTGAAGCTGCAAAATATTTGAATTTAAAATTAGAGATTTTTAAAAAGATATAGCTTCAAGCTGGAATGACTTGATAATCAAATAAGGACCAGCACATCATAAACACTGAAAAAAATCTAAACAGAATTTACACTCTCACACCAATCAAACACTGGAAAAAATACAAGTGCAATTACTGGCTGCTATATGAACTGTTATCTACCAAATGGTTTTCTTACAGTACTGAGATCTTTGTCTCCATACTGCATGCTTTCAACAAACGTGGTTTGCATTTCACCCAGGAAACACAGAATCTCCTTTTTAATATCTATATAAAAAAGCTAAGTGTTTGACAATAAGTTCTCTATAGTAAGTAGCTGACAGGAAAAAAACTGTTCAAAGTTGAAAACAAATATTTACAACCCCACTGTGGTAAAATTCATATTAAATTCAGAAGTCGGAAGTCCACAGGTGGAGATGAGGTGGATTTTGGAGAAAGGAAAGATGGTAGACCAAATTAAAGAAACTTTGAAGTGGGTAAGAACTGTGTGGAAGAAATTATTTTTGAATGTTTATCGAAAATTAAGGCAATAACTTGTAAAGATGACACTGGGAGAACGGAAGATCCCAAGGTGGCCTGGGAGGTCAGGAAAAGAGAATGCATGATACTCTGTGCTCAGTTATCTCCTCAAGAAGAAAGAGGGTCTTGAAGAAATGGGTGTGTAGATGAATGTGATAAGCAGAGAAGTAGCTGGAAATAAATATTTGGCAGTCATGGCATCCTCCCAGGTGAAATAAAACAAAGTGTTATTAGCTACCAGGAAGCAAAAATGGCACAACTTCAACCAGCAGAAGTAGATAAACATTCAAGGACATTGGCCACCTGAACTGCAAGAAAAATTCTGGGGGAAGCACAGATTGAAAAAATGAAAGTTGAAAAGAGTTGTTTAAGATGGAGAATGGTTAGAAAATTCAAAAATGTTAGGCTTTTCTTTCAAAGAGGGAAAAGCAAATCATTGTTTCAGAGCTGGAAAGGCAATATGAAGAAATAGATAATTTTAATTATTTCTGGAATGTTGAGGCAAACTGAAAATATTAAGAGCACAATATTAGAAGATAACTTTCTCATCCCTCACATTTTCGTGAAAATGATATCTTTTTTTAAAAGGGCTACATTAAAATTTCTCATCCCTCACATTTTCGTGAAAATGATCTCTGTGTAAAAGGGCTACATAAAAAGCTACAGAGAAACAAGCTTCCTGCCATGGACACACTGAACTCCAACATGAACATAGAGTGGAATAAGATGGTTATGATAATACATCAGGAAAAGTGTAAAAAAAATAACCTAAGGCAAAGAACAGCCAAGGCAGCACAAGGAAAGCTGAGAAAAAGATTTGTCATAGCAACTGAGTATCTCACTGTTGGGAGTGCAGGAATCAGCCTCAAAAGAAGCCAGTTTTCACTGATCATTTTTAGGCTCTGAAGAAGAGACCAGGGATTTACTCTTCACAAAGAATCATCAGACAACATCATTTACCTGCTGAAGGAGCTGATGCACTCCACAAAATTCAGTCGGATGCAGTAAAGTGTGACTTGTGTGAGGGTCTGAATAACCCTGTTTCCTGGTACAAAGCACAATTTCAATTGGAAACAACGATCATGCAGAAGCTCAAAAACTTGATTGCCAAAAGAACGTGTTGCTCACAATGTGTTCAAAAGGAGCAAGCATTTAGAGAATGTGTTTTCAAATACACATTTTTCATGTTTTAGTTAAAGCTTTTAGCACTGTGATGACAGAATGTGGAAAAATGAGGTCTTCACTGCAATAGGAGGAGTTTTGGCATTACTCTGAAGAGAAGGGTCATAATGGGAGATACACAGAGCTTGGCATAACCAAACCAGGTGCTGATGAGAGAACAGAAACTGAGAGGTGTGATTCATTTGGCAAAGAAATAATCTTTATTATTATAGACATAGTTTTGCTCATTGCTGCTTTGGAAATGAAACTCTAAGCACAAACACGGGATGGTCACACCATGTGGCTGCAACGGCGAGCGCACCGCAGTGAGGGGAGACTGTCTTGTTACAAAGCAGGAAAGGTATGAACAGTTTCTGTTTCTCATGTTTTTATGCATTTTGTTACATTGTAATTCACATGTGATAACTTTCTCAAAGAAATTGGCTGATTTTGGTGACGTTTTCCATGACACCCATGATATTTCTCATCTGTGCTGGGCTGGCAGAATGTGTAGATTTGGAAAGCTTTACAGTCGTACTATCCATTGCATATTAATATTTATTACAGAGCTAGGAACAGGTGTAATGAGTATACTCAGTTCATGCAAGATGATAGGTCTGATTTTTATTTTCTCTGACACAGGCTTTCAATCATCTCTCTCAACTATATAAGTGAAAAAGGAAACAATAAGTTTCTTGTTTCTGATATCAGTTGTAACAGCTTCCCTGGTTTTATGCTGCAGTACTCGGCAGTTTTCAGGATGAAGCACCAGAAGTATGGAGGCCTAACAAATTGTGAGGTTTGAGATAAACTTTAGAATTTGTTGCATTAACTTTCATTATATTTGTATCAGTGAATAAAAGTGCACTTATAAACAAGAACATGTAATAGATATACGTGAGCAGAAATCAGTGTAATGATTTAAAGTGTCAGTTTATTTCCTGGCTGATCCACTCTCTCCATTTTTATCTGTTGGCTATTTTCTGCAAAATATACTGCTAAGAATTTTTCTTTTTACAGCTTATGAGTTGGGTACTAGACTGGGACAGAGGTGAAAATGACATTAACTTGGCTTTCATTGTAAATTGTAAATAAACAGAGGAACAACATCCACTATTATTACACATTCTTTTGCAGTGGTGCTCAGGGATGCCCATTATCAGGGAGCAGGAAGTCTATTCACTTTGCAAATAAATACAGAGAAAATATTAGTGTCTCAAGGAGCTAAAAATCAAAGATACTGTTCCATTTGGCAAATTATACAGATCAGGGGAGAGCCGTGATTATGTCGTCTCTGGCATGCATCATCTCTGAGAAGGGACTGGGCTTGGTAAGTCTAGAGAGGATCACAAAGTGGTTTAAATTTTGTTGTCCATGTGGACATTGTCTTTCCACATCTGTAGCTTTTAACTATCGTGGATTCTCAAGAGGCTGAGTGGCTGAATGTCCTTGTTTCAGTGATACAATGGGCCAAAAGAATAACACTTTATTTAATTCACCATATATGCGAATAGCATATATGAAAACATGGGACAATAAAAGAGGAACTGTTTATTTATTCTTTTTGCACTGAGTTTTCTACTCTTCGGTGGCAAAAATAAACGTTACTTTCTTCTTCTTCTTCTTCTTTGCTGTGTAGATTCAGCATTGTTAAAAAAAAATTGCATTATTTCCTGGAGAATAGGTCCAGACTCAATGGTTGAATTTCAATTACAGATCCAATTCCAAATCAATGGAAATGTAGGAAAATCAAAGGCATTTCACAAATTCCAGTTATAGGACTATACTTACTGAGGAGAGTTTTTGTAAATGAAGGTGAGCTGCAGGCTGAAGAACTTTTAGAGCTATTGCTAAAAGAGGCAAAGGAAATGAACCAAACTTATCTTACTGAATGCAGAATTCCAAAATACCAGTTAAATACACTGAATGGTTCTCTGAAATAGTCATAGATTGTAATTTGAATAGAAAATATCCCTTTTTAATCTTATGTCTTGAAACAATATATATATCTCATACTTTTATCCAAACTAAGTATGATTTTTTTGTGATAAACATACTCAATTTTATTATTCCTCTATTTAGTAGAAAATTAGCCTCTTTTCAAAACTTTGATGCCTAATTCCTTCATGAATTAATCTAATTGAATCTTTTATGGGGATCTTATGTTGTGAACTGCAGCTCCTTTCATACATGTTGAATTACTTTGGGGCTAATGAAATGAGACTTTCTCATAAATAATAGATGTGTTCAGAATTGAGAGACTGTTCATTTGATCATCAGAGGCTTAGACTCTTTTATTGCATGCTTAGACTGCAGTACATTGAGAACCTATTTGGCTTTTTTTCATCATGGATCCTTCATCTGGGAGAGAACAACAATTTTGTTACTGTATTAAAATGCCTAGTAATGAAGGATTTGATATCCTGAATTTCAATGTTAAAATTGATACTTCCTGGCTTTTCCAGGAATTAGAAGATGCAAGCATACCCACTGAACAAGCAAACAATGCTGGAGAAGAGAATTTGAACCTCAGAATAAAAAAGCTGGAAAAGTCAGAGCGAAAACTGAAAGGTGTTCTAGAGGATTACGTGGAGTCAGATTCTGTCCTAAGAAACAGGTAAATAAAAGGGGGTTTTGCATTCAAAATTAATGTGATGTGACAAATGTATTCTTCCCTTTGCCCCAATGATACATGCAAAACTAGCAAAAAGAAAGACTTTAGGGTGCCTGGTAAGATGCATGTATAGGTGTTTTGTGTAGTTGTCAGAATAGAAATGCAATACTCAATGTTTTGTTTTTATTAGTTAAATTGGATACACAGTATCAGGTAAAATCTTGTAGCAAATAACCAGACAGCTTTATCAGGATCTTTCATTCTTAAATATTTGTAAAGTGTAAACTCTGCTGTAAAATTGTTCTGTTTTCATCTGGGATAGAGTTAATTTTCTTTCTAGTAGCTGTTGTAATTTCGGGTTTGGCATGAGAATGATGCTGATAACGCACGTTGTTTTAGTTGTTGCCAGGTGATATTTTATGTTAGTCAAGGACTTTTTCAGCTTCTCACAGAAGCTGAGAAGGAGCACAGGCAGAATAAGCTGGCCAACAAAATATTCCATACCACAGACATCATGATCAGTATATAAATGGGGTCTGGTGGGGGGGCAGGGGTTCGTGATCGCTGCGTGGGATGGCCTGGGTAACCAATCAACGGGTGATGAGAGTGACTTGTGTTGTTTTACTTTATTTAGTAGATTATTTTACCATTATTATTATTAATATTGTTATTTTCCTTTCCCATCATTGTTCCACTAAAGTGTCTTTATCTCAACCCATGAGGTTTTTTTTTCCTTTCCTCTCCTTCTCCCCCTCTTCTCCCTACCCTACTGGGGAAGGGGTGTGGGGAAGTGAGCAAGCAGCTCTGTGGACCTATTTGCCAGCTGGGCTTAAACCATGACAAAAAATATATCCCTTTCTAAGGGTTTCCTTTCCTTTTAAGAGCTAATTTGGAATATTGTGTTGCAAAAACAGTTCCTTGTTTCAGAAAGTTTCATCTAGTTCAGTATGTTAATGCTGATCATTACAGTAAGTAAAGGTGCCATTAAGCATTAATTATGTAGTTGACTAGAATAATAAGATCAGGTCACCAACTGCACTGTTCTTTGATAGTCACCAACTGCACTGTACTAAACAAAGACAAATACTTAGAAGGCTAGAAAATATAAATGGCATTCAAAGTAACAGTCTCTATAACTTCTAAATTGTTTTGATTCATCAAGGGATTTGGCCAGAAATGTTTTAATAATCAGGTTTTTGTCAAATAACAATGAAACTTTTTTGAAATAGAAGCTTTCATAGGAATAAGCCTATTTTAACAAAGATTTTGGGGAGGGGAAGATGGGAAGAACTTTTATTTAAAACCAAAACAAAGAAAGTATGAGAGAACAGCTCAAGCAGAGCAAAATGAGCTGAAACTTGCCTGAGATATAGGAGACCCATTTTCAGGGATCTTAGCTGAAAGTACTCGTAGAAAGAAAAGTAATCCTGTGCCTGAAGTTCTTGCAGATGAACCACAGACAGACGAGGCAAGGATTGATGTGGAAGGCAGAACTATTGGAAAAAGGGAGAAGCAGAGTCAGTAGCTGTAAGTAGCCGGGTCAGAGTTTTGGGTGGATGTGGCCCAGTTTCCTTTGATACCAGTACTTCAATATATTAATAGGTACTTATTTAATCATATATTTTCTATCTGAATCCTCTTGCTTCAGAAACATGTTTTTTGAATAAAGGTAGTGTTGTCATGCTGGAATGGAGGTAGCAGGAGATTTTGGCAGGCAGGGGCAGTCAGACAAAGCTAGAAGATAGACGTGGTCAGGGGAGCCGAGAGGAAGACTGTTGAAGGTTGAATGGAGAAATTCAAGGAAGAAGATATGGTACATCACTGTCCTGAGGGACACAGGGGGCAATGTCTGCATCAATAAGATTGGCTTTAGTACCTGCCACAGGAGATGAGAGACTGGAAAAAATATTCCTTAACAAGAAAAGGATATTTTGAGGTTCACAACTGTTTAAAACATTGAGAAAATTTGGATGTGTAGGCTGAAAAGAGAAGGAAAACTCTAACAAGAACATGAAGCTTGCGCTCATAAAATTATCTTAGGTCCTCCTCCTACGTAGAGAAGCCCCATCACATCATACCATATCATCTTACGCTATAATTTTAATAGCCACAGGTGATGTGAACCTGTATTTTGTCCACAAAGCTGAATTTTGACAAAGTCAATACAGTTATGTAGTATAGGTTTCAGTACCCACTGTGAGGTATCTTACAAGTAAGATGTTTTCCCTTTGGTCAGTAAGATACATAGTTACTTGTAGGTTACCTGTAATCTTAATTTTGATGGGAAACATTTACCACTATCTTAAAATTTGAATTTGCTAACTGTGAACCTAGCAAAATGATCAGATATATACAGAGACCAGAGTGTTGTGGTTGTTTTTATGGTAAGAGGTTACCTCATATAGTGTGCCAAGCTTCTGTGAACATTAATCTTGTTAATTTTTTTGCTTGTGGTTTTTGTATTAAGCCATCAGAGAGAATAAACATAGACCTTGTCTTTAACAGTTTTGAGAGTCTCCAGTGTAATGTGAAAACTCCAGCAGACTTGTTAAGTATTGAGTGTTTATTATTAGTGATCAACAATTTGTTACTCTTTTATTGTTGGGAGAAAAATGGAAAAGTAAAGATAAATTGATGCATTGCTGGTGACTGCTTATCCATCGGGAAATGTACTGAGTGAAATTTATTTAGCAAAGATCTTCATTCTCACTATCACAGGATGAAAGAGCTGGAGCTGTCACACAAAACACTTCTTGTGACAATTGATCAACTAAATGTGAAGTTGCACCAGGTTGAAAATGCAAATGTGCGTGTTAAAGGGAAACTGCGAGACATTCAGGAGGACCTGATCAACTTGGTGAGGATATTGTTTCAAATGACCTAGTTTAGCTTCTCTGTGTGGTAATAATTTATAAGTCAATCTCATCTCCTGTGACCTCTCTGTTTTTAAGCAATAAATAATCTCAGCCATTCTCTTTTTTTATAACCACAATTGGTCTTTTTTTTTTCCCCACTTTCTATTTCTCTAATGTTTTTGACAGCCCTGTCACTATTCCTCTCATGCAGGCCCATGATCTTTGAGATCTACTCTCCCACTTTATTCTTTCTCCCCAGAACCCACTCAGCGTACTCCTTCTCCCTAGGTCAGACTTTATTTTTCTAGCCCCATGATAAAGCATTTTGATTCCCTACCATACGCGATACAACAACACAACCCAGCTAAGGCAGCCTGTTTTCTGTATAAAGTGCAGCTGCTCAGCTTGTCGACTGACTCCGGAATTGCTCATGCATTTTCAAGCTGGGCCCCACCTGCTCTTGCATCCACTTGAAACTTCTTGCTTAGCTTTGTGTCCTCTTCCAGCTTTACCAGGTTGGTTTGGGTCTCGCCTTCTTTCCTGTGCTGCATTGCCATGTGGGCCACCTCTCCGCAGACCCCTGCTGGTGCGAGCCCTCCTCTCCAGCGTGCCCTTCACTGGAGCAAGCTGACCTGCTCCCTCTTTGCCAAGAATGTCCTGCTGCCAATTTCATGCCCTCACAACTCCTCCTCCACCATGTCTGTTGTGAAATTGTCAGCTCTGCAGTTGAAAGTCTTCAGGTCTCCCAAGTGCTAGCTCGTCTTCATGTACACGTGTTCTATCAGGAAGGTCAGCTGTTGGCTGGTAAAACACACAGCAGGCATTTTTACCTAGTGAGCACAGCTCATTGGAGGGATCCATGAAAATGGAGAAGGAATGAAAGTTATTCAGGGATGGTCTACTGTGAAACCGTGTTTTTTGATTCTGTTTATCATAAGGTACTCTTTTATTGTCTCAGCATTTTAAGTCAAAGTTGAATAATCTGACAGAACACAGGTACCATGCATGACTCATAAGTATGAACAATAGTCTTTGCTTTTTTATTTAAAGGTGAAATGTATTTTTCAAGACTCAGAAAGCTTTGACATGCCTATATTCCCATCAACAGCTAACCGAACTATTATCCCACACCTACCTGACTTCGCATAACATTTCAGCCTACTGTTCCTGTCCTTGTTGGTGAACCCCTTGAAGAGGAAAATACTGGGGGTCAAAAAGACTGACCTAATGAAGTCCTTGAAGAAATAGAGTAATGTCTCTGTGCCTTCAGTCTCGCTTCAAAGTTGCCACAATGGCCCTATGATTCTGGTGGCTCTCACTCTGCTCAGAACAAGGACAGCATGTGAATCATGAAAGCCTCCTCTGTCTTTCACTGACATCTTTCACCTCTCTATGTCTCTATGTTCAAACACACTTTGGTGCAAATGAAAATACCAAAGTCTTTCTCAAGCTGATTCAAAAGGCATCTGTTCCTTTCTCCTTTTTCATGGGGTTCATAAAAGGACCTGACAGATGACAGGTGTGGTGAAGGGCAAAAGGCAAAAGCTTGGTCTCTGAAAGGTGCATTTTATGTTTTCTATAACAGAACCACAGCTTCTCTGCCTGTAACACCTCAGTGCTACATGGCTGTCAGTGTTAACGGTATGTTACTCTATAGTTCAGAGCTTGTTTTATGGATTCCAGTTTAAAGGTTTCATTTAATTTAATGCATACTATAACACATGCAAAAGAAGGTGTTTAAAAGCTTCTTGCATTTTAAGTACTACTACTACTAAATGTCGGCAAGTTTGTGTTTTGTTTGTTTCCTACTGGGATGTTACAATGATGGCTGAAATGACCAAACGGTGGGTCAGTTCTGCTACAAATGCAAAATTTTACAAGTGCAGAATTACTGCAAAATTAAAAAAAGAATATAAGGAAGAAGATATTTAGTATTAAGATGTTAACCACATAATTCACTGAAATTGTAGGTTGAAAACCGAGAAAAGTCAGAGAAGAAGCAAAAGGAAAAATTTCATTGGATTCAGGAGCAGCTGAAGACAAAAGAAGATGAAATAAAAAGCCAGTTGGAGTATTTTGAGCACTACAAACAAAGGCAGAGACAACAGACAGCAGTGCTGAGAGAAAGGGAATGTTACCTTCGGGGTGAGGTATCTAGGCTGGAAAAGCAAGTCCTAGATCTTAGTGCTCATATTGCTCTTTTGACATCTGAATTAGAAGAGGGGAAGGTGCAGTATCTCCAGCAGAAGCTGGAATCAGCATTCAGTGGGATTCAGGGATGTAAAGACTCTGTGGAAGTGATGGAATTGAAAACTTGCGTTAATAATGTGGAGCATGACATGAAAAGCCACCTTGAGATACTTCAGCAAAATATGAAGTTCTTGAGGGAAAAAGAGGAGGACAACATAAGAGGTCAGGCAGACCTGCTGACTGAACTCCAGCGCTCTCAGGACACTGAAGACTTTCTCAGAAGAAAATTGGAAGAATCTTGCCATCGTGTTTATAGTCTGAAATTATCTGAAGCCAAACTACAGGAAAAAATAGAGGAGCTTTTGGATGAAAATAGGGCGTTAAAAGATCAAGGTAGAGTGACGTTGAGGAAGAAAGAAAAGGACTCACAACCTACAAGATTGGAGAATGGAGATGACAGTGTTGACCTGGTAAGTAAAAATAAGGCAAAATATAATTTGCTTTTATATCACTTTGGATTACACTTGTCATTAGATGTGCAATCAAGATGCAAGGCTTTTTCCCTCCTGCATGTTTTCCCTTTATTTCTGTTGATGCATTAGTGCTCATAGTGTCTAATTCACACCCATGGGAGTCAGTAGTTGGAGCTTCATTGCATCAGTGCTTTTATTAGGTGCACATTGAGGGAACTTCACAAATCTGGTTTCCCTAAGCTTTTAAGTGATGTGCCCAAGGCAGAAAGTCTCAGTTTGCACTCAGAGTAGAGTTCCTCTTTTCAGAAGAACTTCTGAAAGCTCTGTCTTGTGGACACCATCCAGTGAAGGAGCACAGATATGGTTGGGTGAGTTTTCACATGTTATTCATGCCCAAATGCTGAAGAAAAAAGCACAGATGACAATAAATCTTGTCTGTGAGATTTTTCTGGATAACAGTAAACAAGGGAAGATGGATACAGTATTCATGACTGGGAGTGAGTTGAGATATTCAAAGGTTTGCAGCTCCGTAGCATTGTGATATGCCCTGAATACACTGAATAGGATTTGTTTGCTTCAAGCACTTCACTCCAATGTTGCATGGGAAAGCTCTGCATATGCTCTAATATGGCATTCAGCTTCTGCCAATTCATTTTGCTGACAAAGAATAATTCTTTTCATGGAGAGGACTCAGACAAAGTTTTGTTCTTTTTCCACTGAGGTGGAGGGTATTTTTATTCTGAGGGTTTGTTAAATAAAATGAAATCAGCTAAGCCTCACACTCAGCTACTCCATTCAGATTGTGACCTGATATCCCAAGAACTCAGTCCTGATTTTAGCTGCAGTTAACTGAGAGGTAATAGACGTGAAAAAAACCCCGTCTTTAATAGAGGAGGAAAATCAGACTGTGAGTACTTCCAGAACTGGGAGAAGGTAGAGAGGATCTTTTGTCCCTAAAAGTTAGAAGAAATAAAGACAAAGTTTTTAACCTGGTAGTTGAATGCACCTTTGCAGACGTACTGATTTTGTACCATTCTACAGCCTCAAGAAGTGAGCTCCAGGAGGTTGTGTGAGAGAGAAAGAGTGGTAACATCATCCTGCAGTAACTGGAAGCACCTGTGTGACCTTTGGGGAGAGCTCTGAAGCTGGGCCTCACCACATGAATCTCTGTAGATGCCCAGAGGTGGCAGAAGGGACTGACTGCAGTTGCTTGTTTTTATACTTAGCCTGAACCATTTCAACAGTTACTTTAACTAGTGAGTTCACTTCTTCCTGGGAATGAAAATATTTTAAGATATTTCTAGAGGGGCTTGCACTGAATTGTAAACAGGTACAACAACTGAGTGCACTATGAGGGGACCGCACAGCTAAAATCAGCAATGAGGGCTTTCAGAGCCAAGGAAAAATTATTGGAGAATTCTTGTTGATTTGAGAAAATTGACAAAAGGAGAAAGTAAATGTTGAGTTATTTGAAGGTGTGAATGTAAGATATATCAACTGACTAATTGCCTGAGACTAATCCAAAGAGTCCTCAAGAAATGGGATCAAATCTCTTTCATTCTATACTGTACCTGTTCTATTTCTTCTTCTACACAAGATTTTCTAATGATTTATTTTCTAAATATTAATGTACAGTCATGTTGTCGTAGGCAGTTACTAAGTCTCAATTACCCAGTTTTTGGTATAGATGAACAGGCCATAATTTGTGTTAAGCCAGTCTATTTTGGTCTGCTGCACAGTAGGTTGTGTTCCTTACATGCTGTGTATTGCATCAGCAGCATCAAATCTTGTGCCTGCTTCATTTCTGGTTGTCTTTTCCTCCACTTTCAGTACTGCTGCTAATTCACTTGGATTTTTCTAGTAGAAAATGGCTTGAGATAGCAGGGAAAAAATTTCAATATTTATGATAAAAGGAGGAGGGAGACATCTGGTGTTGTGCTGTAGAACTGAAGAGAGCTTTTCCCCCTTATCTTGTGTTTTATTAGCACGTAATTAAAACAGAATTTCCTAACCTCTTTACCTTGGTCTTGTAGTATTCAAGCCAAAACAGTTAGAAGAAAAACCTGTTTGAGCTCATCATACTCCATCAATAGCTATAAAAATGAGAAATTGTGTGCAATACAAGAAAGATTCTTGTGCTGTTACTTTTCTGGAAAGCTGCTTGTATATAATTTTTCAGTGAAATAGCAAATGGGATCATTTGCCTATTTCACAGCCAGGAAAAAGGTGGCTTGTGAAGACAGGCTTATCAGACTCCTGTGAAACACACATGGCATGAAATTCCTCAGTAAACACCATGTCATTCAAATGCTGAGCACATCACTTATTCTTGAAAACTAGCCTTAGTTGTTACTGCATCTTCATGCAATAATATCGGATCCAATTAAGTGTTTTGTTCTGATACTCTAGAGGTGACCTGCATCTCACAGACAGGTGTAATCACATAAATCTTGTTGGAAATTTGTATTTCCAAACTTGGTATCAGGATCCTTTCTGCAATATTCCAATTTCACCTTATGCCTGAAAGAAAAATGCATGAAAAAGCAGCTGGTTTCGTGTAGCTGCGCCTTGATTTATCAGTTTCTGGATGTGAACGTTAGGGGTCTGTTGACGGTGTTGGTGAAAGAAAGTATGAAACATCTTTCTATAGCTTTCACATGACAACTGAGGTCTTGATTTCACTGTACGATGTTCCCGGTATCCAAGCATTGTATCTTTTACAGAATTTTCCGTAACTTTCTTTTGACAGGACCTACATATATGTCAATACAAGATATCTGGGAAGAAATAATGGAAGATATTCCTTTGTAAGAAAGGAATGAATGTGTTATGAGGAATTAACATTAGCTTCAATATTACTGAGAAAATGAAGGAAGAAATGTTGGAAGTGTTGTGGTTTCCATTTAAGTCATGCCTCACAGTGAAGATGTCATAATAGACCACTATAGTGTGGCAGCTGACATGGGTTGCAATCAAAATTATTCTCACTGGTAATCTTGTGGAAAATCAAGTGGCTTTTCTGACTCACTACAGACCGAATACTTTGAAGTCATTACCTTTCCCATCTTTATGTAGTTTTAGATCTGCAGCTGAGCTCAAAGGGACCAAGTTTGTTTTGTGCTGGTATGAGGAATTAACATTAGCTTCAATATTACTGAGAAAATGAAGGAAGAAATGTTGGAAGTGTTGTGGTTTCCATTTAAGTCATGCCTCACAGTTAAGATGTCATAATAGAGCACTATAGTGTTGCAGCTGACATGGGTTGAAATCAAAATCATTCTCACTGGTGATCTTGTGGAAAATCAGGTGGCTTTTCTGACTCACTACAGACTGAAGTCTTTGAAGTCATTACCTTTCCCATCTCTATGTAGTTTTAAATCTGCAGCTGAGCCCAAAGGGACCAAGTTTGTTTTCTGCTGGCATTTGATGCAGAACAGTGAAGGAAGACAAAAGTGACTGTGTTGGCTTGTTATCTGCCCTGTAGCTGTTTTGGCTACCGCTACCACTTCGATTATGTGTTTTGTTGAGAAAATCAAACCCGAGTATTCTGCTCACTAAAAATGAGCATGGTGCATGTGAAACGTGACCTGCTGTGTATCAAACAATAAGGGTGTCTGTTTTGCACGAGAAATTCTCAAAATTTCCAAATCCAGTCAGGGAGTCAAGATAAATGTCAAGAACAGAATATGAAATTTTAAATTATCCATAGAAAAGAAAATTTTATTTGGAACAATTATTCTACTTTGACTTCTTCCAACCTAGAAACGGTTGTCTTTGTAGCTAGGCACTGAACTATTAGTCTCATTCCCTACTTGATTGGACTTTCTTTTCTCTTAGTTCATGAGCATATAATTTAGTCTCTGTTCCAACTGTGATGTGACATATTGCATGCTTATTACTCAGATTTTTGCAACATTTACCAGAAACTGTTGGAATAAGAAAATTGTATGAAATAGTAGCAATTATAATGAAATAATGAATCTTTTGAATGTATAATAACAAAGGAAATTTATGTGCCAGTTTTTCACATCACAAACACCATATATTTATAATCTGTTTTGTATGAAATAATGAATCTTTTGAATGTATAATAACAAAGGAAATTTATGTGCCAGTTTTTCGTATCACAAACACTGTATATTTATAATCTGTTTTTTTTTCCTTTTCCTCCTCCTCTTTCCTTTAAGAATCGAGATCTAATCCAGGATGACATTCAAAATCTGAAATGGGGAGCAGATTCACTCAGAAGCAGAGCTACTCAAACTCCAGTTGTGCTGCTAAATGCTAGAGAGTCTGGTATGAAAACAAACTGAAATTTTTGCTTTAATTTCTGTGCAATAAGACTGAAGATGATTTCATGCATGGACTCTGCATGACTTAGGAGGCTTTCAGAAGGTCTTCTAGTCTGGAAACTGTATCTTGGGAAGGTGAAGCAGTAACTATTTGTCAGTATGATACTAGCATTTAGAGTCTGGAAACTGTATCTTGGGAAGGTGAAGCAATAACTATTTGCCAGTATGATACCAGCATATGAGATTTCTCAAGAAATCCTGGAATCCTAGAATCATGGAATAGTTTGGGTTGGAAGGAACTTTAAAAGTTGTCCAGTCCAACTCCCCTGCAATGAGCAGGTACACCTTCAACTAGATCAGGTTGTTCAGAGCCCCATTCAACCTGACCTTAAATATTTTCAGGGATGGGACATCTACCATCTGTTTGGACAACCACTTGCAGTTTTTCACCACCCTCGTCATAAAGAAATTCTTTCTTATATCTAGTCTGAATCTACTGTCTTTTAATTTAAAAATCATTACTTCTTGTCCTGTTGCAAGAGGCCCTGCTAAAGAGTCTGTCACAATATTTCCTATAGGCCCTCTTTGAGTACTGAAGGGCCACAATGAGATCTCCCTAGAGCCTTCTCTTCTCCAGGCTGAACAGCTCCAATTCTCTCAGCCTGCCCTCATGGGAGAGATGTTCCATCCCTCTGATAACTTTTATGGCCCTCAGCCTTCTCTTCTCCAGGCTGAACAGCTCCAATTCTCTCAGCCTGTCCTCATGGGAGACATGTTCCATCCCTCTGATAACTTTTATGACCCTTGTTTTGGAACATAATTCCAGTGCCTTTGCAAAAGTTACTGGTCTAGCTGAGATTGAGCAGGTGAGAAGAAAAGTTGCAACTACTCATGCTGTCTTTGTGCACAGTGAGTCTGTGAACTTTGAGATAAAGTGAAGAGTTGAGCACATTGCCGGCTCATGTCCAGCTTTTCATTCACCAGTACCCCCAAGTCCTTCTCGGCAGGGCTGCTCTCATTCCCTTCATCCCCCAGCCTGTACTGATAACTGGAGGTTGCCTTGACCCAGGTGCAGGACCCTGCACTTGGCCGTGTTGAACCTCATGCAGTTCATATGGGCAATTCTCAACTTGTCCAGGTCCCTCTGGATGGCATACTGTCCCTCAGGCATGTCAACCACACCACTCAGCTTGATGTTGTTTACAAACTTGCTGAGGATAACTCTCTGAGAACTTTCAAGAAGATACAGAGATGAGGAATGAAGGGATACTTCCCATATCCTGGCTGAAGCATAGCGTTTGGGAATGCTGCACAGCAGTCAGGTTTGCTTTTCAGACCAAACAACATGAAAGCTCTGAACCTGGCAAATTGTTTCAGGTAAATTGTCCCAAAATACATTAATGGAAATTTTATAGCAAATTTCAGTATGTGGAAATTCAGACCTGCACTGAATAATTTTAACATGTAAATTTAACTCATGAGTTTTCATTTACTCACTATAATGACATGTATTTTCCATTTTTAAATGCTTTGAGAACTGGGAGGGGGCCCAAATATACCTTATTTTAGCACTTAATATTTATGTTTTCTTGTGAAGTTTGTTCTGTTGTTTAATGTCATGCTTATCTTTGCATTGCTGGTGATGTATGCTTCTGCTAGAAAAGGTAGATTTGAGCATACTCTCACTAAAATACTTTTCTAGTCAAAACATCTGGTCAGATGTTTTGTAGTTTGTTTTTCATATAGCTCTCTGGGAGCGGCATTACAATTTTGCAGTGCTTTACCCTTGCAGAAACATCAGGATGTGGCTGTGCTGGGCTAAAGCAGATGGAGGAGCTACCAGTAGAACTTCTACCAGTTTTGGAACATAATTCCAGTGCCTTTGCAAAAGTTACTGGTCTAGCTGAGATTGAGCAGGTGAGAAGAAAAGTTGCAACTACTCATGCTGTCTTTGTGCACAGTGAGTCTGTGAACTTTGAGATAAAGTGAAGAGTTGATGTATTTAAAGATGAATATAAAAGTGGCTTTAAATCATAACTACTACAGATGTTATTCAAGATGTTTGTTCTGTTGTTTAATGTCATGCTTATCTTTGCATTGCTGGTGATGTATGCTTCTGCTAGAAAAGGTAGATTTGAGCATACTCTCACTAAAATACTTTTCTAGTCAAAACATCTGGTCAGATGTTTTGTAGTTTGTTTTTCATATAGCTATCTGGGAGCGGCATTACAATTTTGCAGTGTTTTACCCTTGCAGAAACATCAGGATGTGGCTGTGCTGGGCTAAAGCAGATGGAGGAGCTACCAGTAGAACTTCTACCAGTTTTGGAACATAATTCCAGTGCCTTTGCAAAAGTTACTGGTCTAGCTGAGATTGAACAGGTGAGAAGAAAAGTTACAACTACTCTTGCTGTCTTTGCGCACAGTGAGTCTGTGAATTTTGAGATAAAGTGAAGAGTTGGTGTATTTAAAGATGAATATAAAAGTGGCTTTAAATCATAACTACTAAAGATGTTATTCAAGATGAATACAGGTGTGCACTAAGAAAATACTTATTTGTGCCTTATTTGTATCATTAGTCTCATTGCAAATCTTGAAATAATTTGAAAACTTCTTTCTCATCTGTCTGTAATCAAGTATTTTATGGATGGAAAATAAATTATGATTAGTAACATAGAATGATATATATTAGCTATTTTTTTCAGTTTGAAACATTTCCCTTTTTGCTATTACCAGGTTGGCCTTGGAACAAAGAGGGCAGGTGCTCTAGAAGACATTTTCACTTTGTTCAAATGTTCCCCAAGTTATTGTGCATCAAGCCTGCTTTCCCCTTGCTCTGAGAAGTTAGCTACAGATGAGGCAAGTAAGGAAATAAAGGCTGAAGAAGAATTTTCACTCTTGAAGGAACAAGCTATAGTTCTACCAGCGAAGACATTCCCTGTTTCTGCGGTTGATGCTTTGATGAAGAAGCAGCTCCAACTTACCTTGTTAGAACCTGAAAGCTACCACATATCAGCTGTCACCACTGTGAAGAAAGTTAACAGTCTGGATTTCTGTGAGGCAAATACCAATCTTTGCTCTGATGGCCTCTGCCTTGTTGCAGAAGGAAAATCTTCTGAAAAAGCTTCTGGACTACTTTGTGGAAAGATGCCTTGCACAGAGACAGAAATTCTCACATCATTTCTAGAAAAATATGATGTGGAAAAACATTGGGAAAACAAGAAAATTCTACCAAAAAGCGTAAGTGAAAGTAAATGTCTGGATGAAGTTGTTGATGATGGAAAGTATCACCAAAAGATCTCTAGAAGGAGAGCTAAAGGACAAACGATACAGAATGTGCAAGCCAAACCACAACAGGTGACTTGTGTTCCTGAGGAAAGCTCTAAAGTTTTAAATAAAACTGAATTGATCAAGCCTGGGAAGCAAGCAATGGAAGCCAAACAGAGTGTAGGTAGCCCACACGATATCCAAATTTTATCTTTTGATTTTAAAGATTTAAATAAACATTTTGAAGGGAGCCCTGAATTAATGGAGAAACAAGGAAACCTCTCAGAAATCTGCATCTCTGATGTGAACAGGGTATGTAATGATGACATAATAAAAATGGAGGAGAAAGGAGAGAAACCTCAGAAAACAACTTGCCAAACAAATCCTTCCAGCAATATTGGGCTGAAAGAAAAGAAAAAACAGACCCTGAAACTATGTGAACCAAACAGGAAGAATTTCTCATGTCAAAAAATAGCTGCTGAAAACATGCAATATACATACTCTCAGAATTTTTTTTGGTCAGAGGAAGAGAGGTATCCGCTAAACACGTTGTCTCCTGTGCAGGAGAGGGATGTGTGCTTAAACAAACTGTTCCTGCCAGGGAGCAATTTTTATGAGTGTTTCTGTCATCTGTCACCACTGGAAGGTGGTAATGAATGTAATGTAAAAATATATGCACTGGAAAAAGTAGTGGCTATGTGTTCCCAGAGGATATTTCTACTGATGGAAGAGAATGAAAATTACTCCAAAAAAGTCTGTATATTGCAACAGGAGAATGAGAGATATGCTCAGCTAATGTGTGCACTGGAAGAAGAGATGGATGCGTATTTTCAATACATTTTAGCGGTAGATGAAGCTAATGTTGTTTCATTCCAAAACTTACTTAATGAGAAAGAAGTTGCTGGTGGATGTTATAATAACTTATCAGAAGAAAACACAGCGAGCTCAGGAGCATTTTTTGTTGAAACCTCTAAAAACCTCTCATGTATTGAAGAGAAAAATAGGAATTCTGGTAAAGACCCATTGACAATTGCATCGAATAAACTTCCCAGGAGTGTTTTATCCCTGGATGGAAGGAAAAAGAGATATTTCCAGATGCTTTCTGACCTGAAAGAAGAAAGAAGCAGATGCTTCAAAGAAATAGCTAAATTATTACAAGACAAGGAGAATTATGAAGCAAAATATAATGAATTAATACAAGAGAGAGAGGGTAATTTACAAAGAATATCTCTTTTAGAAGGTGAAAAAGAAACTTTATTGGGATGTTTGGCAGAAGTAAGGTGTGAACAAGACAAATACAGGACCTTGGTTTCAGAACTTCAAGAATGCAAAACCAGCAGCTATCAAACTATTTCTGATTTACAGAAGGAAAAACATGTACTGAAAAGAGAAATAGACAGAATCAAGAAAGAAGCTTCAGAACAGCTTGGGGAATTTCAGAAAGCAAATGCAAACTTTATTTTAGAAAATAATAAATTGAAAGGATTAATGTCATCTTTGGGTTTCAACTATGAAGAGCTGAGAAAAGGTAAAAGTTTGGAAACAAAGGAAAAGATAGTAAAACTAAAAGAAGAAAGTCAACAACATGGTCTTAAGCCAAAGAAAGTTAAAACAGCATGTAGTGCAACTCAGACTGAAGAAGGAGGAGTTCTGGTTGTAGATCCCTCAAACTTTTTGCCTGGAAAAGAGGTAAATAATAACAATTAAGTATGTTATAAAACAGGATCTTCTAAAGAAAGTTGGAGATGTCCTCCATTTGGAGGACAAAGCTAAATTAACTTTGTTATATAGAAAATGTTGTAACCTCCCATGTGCTGGAGATCTGACGTGCTAAAGTTAACTTTTAAATATAAGACAAAATACCACAGAGTTTTTTTCTGATTGTTGTATTAGAGAATTTTAAAGTGATACAGCAAGCTAAAGTTAAAATTTAATGTTTAAAAATTATTCCAGGATTTTTAAAATTATTTATTTTCTTGCAAGAGTAAAAGCTTCTGGTAAAGCAAATTGACTTCCACAAATTTCTGTTATAATGATGAAGTATTCAAGGTTGTGAAATAATCATGACTTATTGAAAAGTATACACATGTTCACTTAATAACTTTTATTCTGATAGGGTCTATTTTTTTTTTTACTGCTTTGATTTTCATGAAGTATACGCCTAAAGATAGGGTCTTTACTTATAGTGGATTTCTTGTCCAAGTTTTTTTCTCTGTAGTCATGCATCTTACACCACAGTGAAATTCTATGGACACTAATGGAGAAACAAGGAAACCTCTCAGAAATCTGCATCTCTGATGTGAACAGGGTATGTAATGATGACATAATAAAAATGGAGGAGAAAGGAGAGAAACCTCAGAAAACAACTTGCCAAACAAATCCTTCCAGCAATATTGGGCTGAAAGAAAAGAAAAAACAGACCCTGAAACTATGTGAACCAAACAGGAAGAATTTCTCATGTCAAAAAATAGCTGCTGAAAACATGCAATATACATACTCTCAGAATTTTTTTTGGTCAGAGGAAGAGAGGTATCCGCTAAACACGTTGTCTCCTGTGCAGGAGAGGGATGTGTGCTTAAACAAACTGTTCCTGCCAGGGAGCAATTTTTATGAGTGTTTCTGTCATCTGTCACCACTGGAAGGTGGTAATGAATGTAATGTAAAAATATATGCACTGGAAAAAGTAGTGGCTATGTGTTCCCAGAGGATATTTCTACTGATGGAAGAGAATGAAAATTACTCCAAAAAAGTCTGTATATTGCAACAGGAGAATGAGAGATATGCTCAGCTAATGTGTGCACTGGAAGAAGAGATGGATGCGTATTTTCAATACATTTTAGCGGTAGATGAAGCTAATGTTGTTTCATTCCAAAACTTACTTAATGAGAAAGAAGTTGCTGGTGGATGTTATAATAGCTCATCAGAAGAAAGCACCATGAGCTCAGGAGCATTTTTTGTTGAAACCTCTAAAAACCTCTCATGTATTGAAGAGAAAAATAGGAATTCTGGTAAAGACCCACTGACAGTTGCATCGAATAAACTTCCCAGGAGTGTTTTATCCCTGGATGGAAGGAAAAAGAGATATTTCCAGATGCTTTCTGACCTGAAAGAAGAAAGAAGCAGATGCTTCAAAGAAATAGCTAAATTATTACAAGACAAGGAGAATTATGTAGCAAAATATAATGAATTAATACAAGAGAGAGAGGGTAATTTACAAAGAATATCTCTTTTAGAAGGTGAAAAAGAAACTTTATTGGGATGTTTGGCAGAAGTAAGGTGTGAACAAGACAAATACAGGACCTTGGTTTCAGAACTTCAAGAATGCAAAACCAGCAGCTATCAAACTATTTCTGATTTACAGAAGGAAAAACATGTACTGAAAAGAGAAATAGACAGAATCAAGAAAGAAGCTTCAGAACAGCTTGGGGAATTTCAGAAAGCAAATGCAAACTTTATTTTAGAAAATAATAAATTGAAAGGATTAATGTCATCTTTGGGTTTCAACTATGAAGAGCTGAGAAAAGGTAAAAGTTTGGAAACAAAGGAAAAGATAGTAAAACTAAAAGAAGAAAGTCAACAACATGGTCTTAAGCCAAAGAAAGTTAAAACAGCATGTAGTGCAACTCAGACTGAAGAAGGAGGAGTTCTGGTTGTAGATCCCTCAAACTTTTTGCCTGGAAAAGAGGTAAATAATAACAATTAAGTATGTTATAAAACAGGATCTTCTAAAGAAAGTTGGAGATGTCCTCCATTTGGAGGACAAAGCTAAATTAACTTTGTTATATAGAAAATGTTGTAACCTCCCATGTGCTGGAGATCTGACGTGCTAAAGTTAACTTTTAAATATAAGACAAAATACCACAGAGTTTTTTTCTGATTGTTGTATTAGAGAATTTTAAAGTGATACAGCAAGCTAAAGTTAAAATTTAATGTTTAAAAATTATTCGATTGTTGTATTAGAGAATTTTAAAGTGATACAGCAAGCTAAAGTTAAAAATAATGTTTAAGAGAGTGCATTATTTCAGGATTTTTAAAATTATTTATTTTCTTGCAAGAGTAAAAGCTTCTGGTAAAGCAAATTGACTTCCACAAATTTCTGTTATAATGATGAAGTATTCAAGGTTGTGAAATAATCATGACTTATTGAAAAGTATACACATGTTCACTTAATAACTTTTATTCTGATAGGGTCTATTTTTTTTTTTACTGCTTTGATTTTCATGAAGCATATGCCTAAAGATAGGGTCTTTACTTATAGTGGATTTCTTGTCCAAGTTTTTTTCTCTGTAGTCATGCATCTTACACCACAGTGAAATTCTATGGACATTAGTATGTTCCTGTAAAAGCAGAATTATTGCTTCAGCTGAGAATAATCAACAGGGAAAGAGTTATCTCTAATATTTTGATTTTATGCAAACTTTTTTAGTAATTCAGAAGGAAACTGTATATTGTTCTGTAAAAACTGGTGTGCCATTTTGTGTGGGTAAGAGAAGTTATGCCTTTCTGTTTTTTATCCAGGACAGCATGTTTCAAAGCTACAGTGAGATGAAAGAGCAAGTCAAAAAGGCAGAAGAGGAACTCAAAGTACAGCAAAAGGATTTAGAAAAATCAAAAAAAGAGGTAATCTCCCACTCTGATGAAATTCTGAGCAGCAAACTTGTTTTCTTTCTTGTTTTCTTACCTGGCTGTTCTTTCTGCCAGGATTTAATGCTTTTACAAAACTGCAGAACAAAAATGTACCTCTTTGATCTTTCAGTTAAGTGGTGAATTGCACGGTCATTCATGGTTGGTCAGAACTTCAGGTGGAGCCGTGTTCCATCAGCACACTTTGACAGAAGCTTAGTGCTTAATAAAGGCATAGGGCACAAACTATCTGGTGTGGCCATCTCTGGGCAGGCTGTGTCCTTCCCCATCACTAGGAGTGAGGGGGAGTAGAAGGCAGTAGAAGCACCCAAGGCTACGCCAAACCTGAATTCAAAATAGTTTTTGAATGAGAGGCAAAATGATGTAAAATCTGACAACACTGCTAAGGGGTCTCGCTCTATCCAATGATGGTGCAAAGCATGTCCCTTCTCTTAACATCAGTGTAGTAAACAAGAAGTCCAACACCACTTACACAGAGACTTGTTTGGATGGCTAGTTCTGTGACTGCCTAAAGTAAATCTGCAGTTTTAATACCAACCAAAGAAGCTTTCAGTGCTGTGCCTTTCTGAGTGCATTAGCTTTCACATTTCTATTTTTTATTGAGCAATCTCCACCATGTGCTTATCTAAGCAGAAATGTATTGCTTTTATGGCAAGTGTGTATTTATGGGGCAGTTTCATGCAATAACAGGCATAACTCAGACCTCCTGGGAAAAAAACACTGGTAGTAACAAGCGTGTTGAGCATGTAAGAGTAGCAGGTGGGTGTACGTAATGGTTGTCCTTTAATAGCTTTATAAGACTTCCCAGATTTCAGGTGAGGCAACTGGAATGAAGGAGTGGATTTGCATGAGTTGATGCATGGCTAGGTAAATGACTTTTGAGCTTGTAATTTGAACATGAAAAGATCAATTAATTTTTCTTTTTTAAAAAATCTGATAAACTTGAGTCCTTCTAGTCCTTCTGTGTATTACACCAGCTTCCTCAGTTTACTTAAAAGAATATGAAGCCTTTGCTTTCACAAAGGAGAAGAAGATAAAAGAGCTTGCTGTCAGGCAACCAGCTGATCTACTGAGTGGTTTGTTTGTGGTTTTGTTGTTTGTTATTTTCAAAACTACAGCTAACATGTATAAGTGGAGAAAATTCATTCTAGAAAAAATATAAGGGTGAACACATGGAGCATTTTTTTTTCCTCCTTTGCATTTTTCATTTTTGACATTTCTCAGGAAGACTTTTTTCCCTAGCTGATAAAAGTCTTACTTTCCATTTGCTCTGAGGGCTTTCAAAGCTGTAATCTCTGAAACAGAGAGTGCATTCACCACTGCTTTTTTTAGCTTTATTCAGAATACTCAAGGTACCTTCAAATTTAGAAATCAATTTAAAAATTAATCTATTTTTGTACATAGCTCTAGTTAGATATGTTTCTATAGGACTTACTTTAAAAGTCTTACTAATTTCTTATAATAAGATTATAGTGTATTGTGTAATTCCATTTATTTTAATCAATTTACAACAATGTAAAACTTGTGATCTAGAGATCAGACTCAAGTCCATGATTGTAAGCTGGTATTGAGAAATGATATCACTGCTAGACTAATCATACTCAGTAGTTTTGCTTTTTTATTCCTCCTGTTAGGCTCAGAAGTGGTACAGAGAACTTGGCTTTGCTGAATCAAGATACGAAGAAATCAAAACCCGTTTGACACAGGCTCTCTCAGAATTAGACCATCTTAAACAAGAAGTAGGGGACAAAATGCCTGGAAAGCAGAGCTGCAAATTAATGGTAGGTATGTAAATGGCACGGAGAAAAGCGTATTCCTTTGGAGGGAGTGTTTTGGAGGCAGAGACAACCATTATTGTTATTGGCAATAGGTTTGAAGTGACCATAGAGAACCAAGGGCAAACTTGAAAGTAAGCAGATATTATGCAAGGCAGACCATCTGAAGTACTGAATACTTCAAAGTCTGGGCTCTGCATGAGCATTCTAGATACCTCCATTTTTCAGGAGGGCTCTTGTCCTGTTCTCTCTAGCCAGAGTCATTTTCTGAAGTGTAGATTTTCAGGTGGCCTTAATGAAAGGTGTTTCCCTTCAGTGCCCTCTGCCTTTCCCATTCTGTGGTTGGAGAAATTACCAGTTGTCCCAGTATTTGGCCTTTGTGCCTTCTAGCCCTGACTAATAGATTTGGAAAGACAAAATGAAGCCGTGATGCTGGATATTCTGTGGAGCAACTTCCACTGCAAGTGAGTGGGATTAATGGGGAGTCAAAGGCTGTAACTGATGCGTGCAGCCCAAGTGTGTATCCCCAAATACAGGAAATCTTTCTGTCACACAGGGGAGAGAAAGACTCATTGGAATCTATGTATATCACAGAAATTCTGGTTTTGCTCTAAATGAAAACTTTTTGAGTTTTCAGGTGGTTCTGTGTCATGATAAAGTTTTTATGTTTTTCACCAAAATGAAGTGTTTTATGGAAAGATTTTTAATTATTGAATAATTTCCTGCAAGCACCTTTCATAAAGACTTTTTAACTAGCCCGGAAGTTATTTCTGTCCTCTTTGACAAGAAAACTGTGAATAAGAAACATGCAACTTTTATCAGCTGCAAAAGCAATTTTGTAGCAAACTAAAACTTTTGCAAATTTAGTTTGAACAGGTTGGATAGATATGGAAGAAAATAAAAACACATTCTGGAACATGTAAAGATTCTGGGCTCAGTTCAGTTGCCTAAATGTCATTGCTTATCCCATTTAAATGCCTTGGGGCATCCTGGCCAAGGGCTGGTCATCTACAACTCTTATGCAGTTACTTCATATTAGCTTGTACACCCTATGTGGCACTATGTGCTTATGTCTAGACAGCTGAATTCTGACTGATAATCGAAAATTAAACACATATTATTCTTATCATTATGATTTACTGGCATGTAACATCTTGAAACAATTAAATCTTTTTCAAGTAAGAAGAAACAAATTGTTTGAAAACAAACAGAGGTGTGTCATGGTATTTTGTTTAAGCTAACACTTAAGCCTTTGAGGGCATTTTTGGGTAATGGTGCTTTAGCCCTTTGATTTGGGGACAGTCTGAGACAACTATTGCTTGTTTTGTTGGTCATTGAATTAAAGTGTGAATTATTTCTATGACTCACATGGGAATAAGATTCATCAACCTTGGCAGAATGTTTTTACACTGGAAAAAGTGCAGGCGAGCCTTTCTTCCAATTCTCACCCACCCCCCTCTAAATCCCTCCAATAACTGAACTTTTCATGTTAGTGTTTATTAATCAGTAGTAGTAAATATGTATGCAATATTGCAATGTTTGGTTTGGATCTGACTTCATCCACTTTAATTACTTGTTGTAGGGTTAATGTCAAATTCTTGAATGCACATGTATCTCATGTGGTCAAAGATGCAGATACATGTACATTGCAGATCTGGGTTTATCCTTCAATTACACTGACACAAGGAAGATGCTATTTTTGGTTTTAGTGTTTAGGCACCAACTTCAAAGACTAGAGATCTTGCCAGGTTTTATAAAAATGCAATGAGTTAAATGTTACATTTTGGGCTCAGCTATCCTTCGGTTATTTCCCAGTCCCAGCTGCTGGGTCCTACACCCTTCTGGAGCAGTCAAACTGCACAACCAAACAGCAACTGTTAACTGGGACATCTGACAGAGTGATCCTAGATAAACCTTTTATGCCTCATTTATGCTTTTAAACTACAGAAAACTGCTAGCAGGTCAGCAAAATGCAAAAAGAAATATATTGCTTGCTCTGTCTTTAACCTTCAAGCGGTTTTTTTATGTCCCAACCTCTTTTTCCATTCAGCATCTTCAGCTAAGAAGTGTTTCCATTTTTTATTTAACATACTTTTTGTGGGGTGAAAAAAGATCAGGAAAATACCACATCTCAGACTCATCTTCAGGCTTTTATCACTGCAACCCTGTTCTAGTCATTCTTGATGTGTCCAGCAGTTGCTATTGTTCTTTTCTCTAAACACAAGAGGGAGCCAAAAAGTTTGGTACAAAGCACGCACGACTTGCTTGGATGCTGTGTAGAGAGGACTTGCTTCATTAGGGAGAACAGTATGAACATGTCTTATTTCTGTTTTTATCTGTGTTGCAATGATGTGTTGCAGGCACAGTTATGTGATCTGTCAATTTAGTTTGTTGTTTTCTATGAAAGAGTGCCTTCAGTATGTTGTAGTCACCAAAGGTGTCAAAGTTGGAAAGACAGTCAAAAAGTAGAAAGAATATTTAACTGCATTGTTCTGCGTTGTGGCTGAATATTATCTCTTGTCTCAGTTGTATCAATGTTAGTAATCACTAGAATCAAACCATCTTCCTGCATGTTTTGACAGAAGGTAATATGGTTTTACGGCAGTGTATCATAGGTCTGACTAGAATTTTTACTTTAATCACTGAAATGCTTAATCTTTTACATTTGCTTATATAATGTGTAATCAGAAATGTTGAGCAACTGTGTGTATCAACTCAATATTTTTTTAATATAAGTTCACAATAGTGTAAATGTTTTCCACAAGATTTTCTTCAGATTTTCCTCATTCTTAATCTATATGTTTCACTTCTCAGAGCTGACCTTGTGGTGCTGACCATCAATCTAAAGCTCTCACTAACCTTTTCAATCTAAGTGCATGAAATTGGAAAAAATATTGGAGAGTGGGGCAGGAGGAGTTAAATCCAGAAGCTCCTCCTTCACTTGTTCTGTATCACTATTGCTACATTTTAATGTAATAAATATATTATTTTTAAATAGTTTTGAAACTTATACTTAAAATCTGATTAGTTTTATTATTAATATTCCGAAACAAAAATATAACTGGGAGAGTTGAATTTGCTCTCTGAGATAATTATATGTAGAAAAACAATGGATGTATTATATAGCAGTTGGAGCAGGAGAATGGGGACTTTTGACTTCTATTCTTACACACTGTGTGACCACAAATTGGTCATTTAATCTGTCTGTGCCCCAGTTCCCCCAGATATTAAATTATTATAATGCAATACTTACCTTGAAGAAGCGTTTTGAAATCTCAGTCCTATACCTGCTCTCAAAGCGGATCAAGAAATCCTTGTTCATAAACAATTTTAAGATTTGTGTAAGATCTTAGTGGTAATATGTTTATGAAGACTTGAAGTCATACATTTTATATCAGCTTAATTCTTTTTTTTATATGTACAAGGTAGGCATGTATATTGATTGAGAACTGTTGTGCGCTAAAACATGATTGAGAATATTTTCATTATTTTATACATCTCATTTGAGAATCTGTATATTTGCTTTCTAGCCTGTGTACACTGTGGAAGATGCTCATGAAATAGAGGAGAATAAAATAGCCAGGAAGAGATTACAGCAGCAAGTGCTGACCTTGAAAGCCCAGCTCAGGGACCAGGCTGCATTACAAAATCAGTTTCACGACTTGCAGAATGAAGTGGAACTCCTTCAGGCTCAGCTATGTGAAAAGGTATAATAAAGCTGTTTTCTGTGTGCTTATGTGGGTGGACAAATCTGAGGTTAGACTTCAGACTCTACCTCTTTCTTCTCAAAGGAGAGGACTAAAACAGTCTTCCTTCCTGGGAACAAGCCTGAGGATAATTAAATGGTTTGCAGGCTTATAAAAGTACTCCTGACTTCAGAGAAATCAGGAGAAGATGTGAACTGCCTGGGTGGTCAAAGTCATGGAAAGATAATAGACTATAATAAAAGTCGCTCCCAGTCCCTGCTGTAATCCCCATAGTGTAATGCAAGCAAAGTAGTGCTGAAATTCTTTACGGAGTCACCTCCTTGGCTTAAATTGTCAGGATTTTTAACATTCCTGATTTGTTTGTTGCACTGCATCAGATTAGGAAACACAGTGAGCTAAAGACAGAATTTTGGTAGAGTTTTCCCTAACTCTTTTTGATCCAGCTGCTGGGGTTACATACTAAGAGTTCATTAACACATTTTCAGTTAGGTATGTGGTTTGTATTTTTATTAATTGACATAGTTATTCTGGTGAGAGCCCCCATGTATACACAAGTATACCTGCATGAGCAGTTTTTGTACTTGTGTGCTATTTTTCACCTGGCAAAGCAGGTACAGGCATTAACATTTGCAAAGCTACTGTCTTATTGTGAGGCTAGAACTGCTGAACTCTTAGGCAGAAACAAATTCCTACTTGGAATTTTTTCCCTTAGAACTTATTTCCTATTTCTTTGGAAAATATTTTTTTTAAAGGTACGATAGTTACAGAGTGAGCCAAATTGGAATTGTCCATCATGCTCTTAAACAACTTGCACATGGTGTTCTCTAAATGGTATTCTTCATATCCTTATACAATGTGTAGAATGTGCTTCTCTTCTGTCTTTCCTCTGAAATAGAATCATAGAATAGTTGGAGTTGGAAGGGACCTTAAAGATCATTTAGTTCCAACCCCTCTGCCATGGGCAGGGACACCTCCCACTAGAGCAGGTTGCTCAAAGCCCCATCCAGCCTGGCCTTGAACACCTCCAGGGATGGGGCATCCACAGCTTCTCTGGGCAACCTGTTCCAGTGTCGCACAGGAAAGAATTTCTTTCTAGTATCTAATCTAAATCTCCCCTCTTTCAGTTTAAAAGCATTACCCCTCGTCCTATCACTACATTCCCTGATAAAGAGTCCCTCCCCAATACACAAGAGGATTTTCTTCTCTCTACTGCGTGCAAGTTTTATCCTACTTTCTCCATGGTAAATCCATGTATTCTACAGCTTGTGGTTTTGTTTGTGAGTGTGTTGGGTTTGGTTTTGTTTGGTTTGTTTTTTTCCCTGGCCTTGTCATGCAGTGTGATTTGCTTTAAAGCAGTCCTGTAGCAGATGGTTAGTGGCTTCTCTCAGGCACTGGTTAGGATGCCTCTTACCAGAACAGTGGTGGTAAAATGAAATTCTTTTGTAGTGTCTGGTGCCTGTAGCAACTGATGGTGCATATCTGGTGGTAGGTGAGTAAAGGGTGAGATGCGCTATCCATATAAATAGGCAACTCCTAATTGTTCTGTTGCATTGGCAAAATGTTTTGCTCCATGCCTCATCAAGAATTGAATATCTCCAGTGCAGGGACATAATTATAGTTTTTTCTTTGTTCCCCCTGTGCTAGTGCAATGCAAAGACGTGTCTCTCCTGCCCTATCTACTCTGTTTCTTCCCAAGCCCACACTTTATTAGCTGAGGATCATGTGACCTCTTTCAGCATAACAGAATTCTCATAAAGGGAGTCTTCTTCTGATGCACTTACGTTTACTGTAGGCTTCATAGAAATACAAATTTTCAAGCAAAATGAATGCAAAGGAAGCTGTCCTTTATTGCCAAATAATACTGTATTGATTTGTAATAGAAATTACCTGGCAGGATACTGTATTTTTTCTGCATAATCAGAAAACAAGTTTCCCATGAATAATAAACATTTAAATCGCAAGGTACAGACTAGGTCAGCTGGCTCAGCTCCTAATAGAGGATGTGCATCAATCATGTCAGAGTAGAAAGTTGTTGATGCTCACTTTTCAGAGCCTGAATAAAATGCAGAAAACCCTTCCTTGTTTCTTGCATTCTACAGCATAATATAGATAGGAAAAAACTTTTTCCCAAAGAAGTATTTTGGAAGATTCACAGAGTAAATAGGAATATGAGTGCATAATGAAGGATACCAAGTCTTTAAAGTGATGCTGCTTTGATGAAACAACCTCACCAATAAAGGGCTCCATCTAAAAACGTCCAAAAGCATTTGGTAATACACAAAGGCCAACATTAATGCTAGTAGGACAGTGTTTGTGTGCCAGGGCCTATGCGTCCATAACCAATTCCTTACACTGCTTCATCATGTTTGTGATGCAGGGTCGCATAAACATGCAAAATGTACCCCTTGGAAGTCAGGTCTGAAGCAAACAGCCAAAAACTGCTACAGCATTTTAAAATGACTCTTGGATAAATTAATGCAGAATGTTTTCCAACCTTTCAGGAAAAAGAACTTCAGAAGAGAAGGTCTGAAGTGAAGTTGACACTAGCTCCTCTGAAGGTACTGCATTCTCCTGAAAGCCCATGTAGGACCTACACAGAGGTGTATCCTTTTGTGTACAGGCTTCTGTGTGTGCGCCTGCCTCCTGCAGCTGCCCCTAATTTAGATGTTACTGGGCTTTAGGCAGTAACTTTAGGCTTGCTGACATTATTGCTATTGTTGCTGACATATATACTGCTCTTTAGCCTGTCAAAAGAGAGGACCTCGTACATGGAAAGGGAACGTCTCTGTCCAGTTTACCTGTGTGCTTGCATTGCTGTTGCAGGGTGCAGAGGCACCTAATGGCCTAGAAACATAGAAATGCAATCTATAGCTTTGGGTCAAAATGCATGAACTTACAGATCAGACCCAAAATATAGTCAATTACATTGAAATCAATGTATGTGTTCATGCCATATAGGCTAAGCTGGCTTGCCTCACCCGAAAGTGCCAGGAAAGGAACAGCTTGATAACAAGGATGAATGATGAATTTCACAGGCGAGGAATTATTAACTCTGCATTTGATGAAGAGGTGAAAAACTTGGTGAATGACACGACTCTGGCAGAGTACACAGTTGCTTTTACACCAATGTGTGATCGAGAGGTGAGTGCTTGTACTTCCTTGTAGGATCCTCCCATTTCCACTATTGTATTAATGCAGTGATTTATTGTTTTTTAAGTGTTGTTTAGTGAGACCCACATGTGCAGTTATAAAATATATTTCAGCACTTAATATAAATATTGCCTCAGAAAATTCAGTGGAGTTGGCTGTTTTACTGCTGATTTGGTCAGGGTTTAAATCTTCTGAAGCTTATCACAAAGTACATCATGCAAAAACCATTTCCCTGATATTTTTGACAAAGTATCATAGTGGATAATGCGGTATGTATTATTCAGTTTCACTTTAAATGTGAATTCTGCATTTTCTTCCTGCAATATGCATCACCTCATATCAGAAAAGAAAGTTCTACTGTGTATCATTGTAAGACTTAAGTCAACTCAGTGGACAATCATTTATTCAAAAGGAAGTTAGTTACTTGCATTTTGCTGGCAAAATTAAACTGGTTCCAGTGGGATACATTCTGCTTCATACCTGGATATGTTCAAAATTGTCATTAATAACTTAGATGCTTGGAATATGCTGCATGTTTTTGGAGTAACACCTACTTGAAGACATTCTTAATGACAGGAATCTGAATCTGGCAACCTGGAGAAACAGGAATTCCCTTGCAGTACTTCAGTAATCTCTGAACAAGCTCTTTTTTCCCTCCTTTGATTTTCTCTGTCTTATTATTTTAAACAAAGCCTGTAAAAATACCCAAACAATATTTGGTAATGTTGGTGTCAAGTATACTCAAGTAGAAACTTTCTGGGGGGAAAAACAAATATTTTGTGTAACGCATTTGTAAAATAGTGGGAAAGGGCTGCCTACCACAGCAGGACACAGAACATAGGTTCATACTGTGTTTTGTACTTCAGCTAACACAGTGCACTGCAAAATGAGTACATTAAAATAATATATTTTTTAATGACACTGACATCTGTTTTTCATCGGCAGAAGTAAAGATGCCTAGAATGGGCACATAGTGTAGTAAATCCATAGGATTATTTATCTGATTATTTTGCATTTTTACACACAGAGTGTATTCTGTATCACTGAAGAATCTTATTCGTCTAGTGTTATTAAGTGTTGCAAGCTATCACTCAGTCATAGTTGTTTCCGTGGCAAGAAGTAATTTAAGTGCATGCTAAGGAAAAGGTAGATTGATTCTTCAAGGAAAATAGCGTTCAAAATTAGGAAAATAAACAAGAGAGTTTGCTGGTTCATAAATATTTATTATAACTTTTTTTTCTTGTCTTCTATCTTTGAGTAGACCTTTTTTTATATGCTTTGGGGTTTTGTATGCTTTGGGTTTTATGTGCCTTTATATCTACATGTGCCATCAACCTTTCATTATAAGATGGTTGCAGGATGGGACTGGATTCTGTGTCTGGCTATGTCTCCTTTGAGTATGTCAAGTCTGGGTCCACCACTGTCTCACCCAAGCTTACATTGAAAATGAATGTTTTACGTGACAGTAGTTAGTAACTCATCTGTCAGAAGGGAGATAATACTTCACTGCCTTCAGACATTTTCTCAGACAGTGCTGTGATAAATGAACATTAATGTGAAGCTTCCCGATACAATAAATATCAAAATACTGTTCACACTCACACTGTCTCCCTGAATGTCTAATTATCACAAAGCCTAGCAGCTCCAAGAGCAGAGAATTAGACTGAATCTGTATTCTGATGGCCAGTGAGTTCATTTGCAACATAGGAGCCCCACATTCAATTCCCTGCTTCAATAGTTATTTAGCTATTCTTGCTAAGTGGAGCACAAACCCCTTCCCATAGTACCCAGTACCATACTGGCCAGAGGTCTCACTTAGACTCAGGCATACTGGGATTCAAGCCTGGTTTTTTTTGATCATGCAGAGAACAGAGTCGCTCTCGCTGGGTTCTGTGTCTGGCTATGTCTCCTTTGAGTATGTCAAGTCTGGGTCCACCACTGTCTCACCCAAGCTTACATTGAAAATGAATGTTTTACGTGACAGTAGTTAGTAACTCATCTGTCAGAAGGGAGATAATACTTCACTGCCTTCAGACATTTTCTCAGACAGTGCTGTGATAAATGAACATTAATGTGAAGCTTCCCGATACAATAAATATCAAAATACTGTTCACACTCACACTGTCTCCCTGAATGTCTAATTATCACAAAGCCTAGCAGCTCCAAGAGCAGAGAATTAGACTGAATCTGTATTCTGATGGCCAGTGAGTTCATTTGCAACATAGGAGCCCCACATTCAATTCCCTGCTTCAATAGTTATTTAGCTATTCTTGCTAAGTGGAGCACAAACCCCTTCCCATAGTACCCAGTACCATACTGGCCAGAGGTCTCACTTAGACTCAGGCATAATGGGATTCAAGCCTGGTTTGTTTGATCATGCAGAGAACAGAGTGGCTCTCACTGGACAGCTTGGTGCTGAGCTTCTGACCATTCTGGTCTGTGATAATTCCATGTGTAACGGGAAACCTCTCCTGCCAAGGCAGATCTGTATGTTCCCATGAAAAATTTAGGTTTCTATGGATCAGTTTTCCAATGGAAAACATTCCAGTGAGAAAATGTCCAAGTATTGCTATTCCTAATTTAATAAATAATGGTTACAATTAAAAAGAAGAGAATCCATTTAATATTCATGTGATACATTCCTTTGATTTTAAAAATCCTGTACTGAATTCCGTAGACATATGTTAAACCAAACTGGCTTTTCAACTTTGAGGATTTATTTTTTGTGTTTCAACTCTTATTCTCACCGGAATTCACATCTAAGATTCCAGAGCTATGCCCAGCCTTTACTTACATAAAAGTCCTTTGAAAGCCCCTTCCCTTCCTTCCCCTCAGATTTTCACGTCTAAATCATTCCTAACATTTGAACGTTTCCAGAGAAAACCTAGTGGATTGATGCTAGTTTTGTTTTGTTGTTGTTGTTGTTGTTTTCTTTTTCTTTTCTTTCCTTTTCTTTTCCTTTTCTTTCCCTTTCCCTTTCCCTTTCCCTTTCCCTTTCCCTTTCCCTTTTCCATTTTAAATTAAAGATTGGCAATTGGCTTTATTAATTTCTGGACCCAGTGACAAATGGAAGCCTGTTAGACGTTGGCAGCAGACATGCCAGCTTTGGCTTAATGATGAATTTCAACCTAGAGTTTGCAGTGATGTATGAAGGGCTGATCCAGAGCCTTTTGAAGGGAGAAGGGACTCTGTATTCAATTCAGTGTCTTTTGTAGTTCAGTAAAAAAACTTTTTGTGTCCAGTTCTCAGAAGAAAATATGTTTTAAAATTCTGTTAAGAATTCTTTTTCCATCTCCACTGTGTTGGAATTGGATGTAGATTAGATAGATCTACCCTAGCTGTGTACTAGGAAGCTTCAGCTTCAGTGGAAGGCTTATGGGCATCAACAAGTTACTCGTGCTTAAAGACAAAAGTGAATTTTAGTTCTTTGCTCATTCAGGACACAACAGATGGTTGGTCATTCCCTTCTGTTTGCCAGAAGTAGCTTAAAGACAAAAGTGAATTTTTGTTCTTTGCTCATTCAGGACACAACGGATGGTTGGTCATTCCTTTCTGTTTGCCAGAAGTGTTTTCTTCCTCATGCTCATCGCAATTAAAATACTCAAACACAAAGAGAGTGTGATGCAAAACCAATCATCTTTGGAGCTTCCTTTCAGACTTCACTTTTCAGCATTCTAAACTTTGTTCTCAGATACGATAAATCACTGTTGTCCCAATGGCTTTATTCTGCTGATTTGCACTAACTCAAAACTTCAAATCAGTTCAGTTTAGCAGAGCAGTACACGTTTTTAGTTTTGTTATTCTTGATTATTTTCACAGACCAGTGTTACATTCAAATGTTTTTGATTGAATAATAAAATTCGCTTGAGTCATGATTTTGTTCCAGGAGTATTTCACTGTGGCCAGATATACACTGGAGTAATCTGTTCAGAAAAGTCAATTTTCCTTCCTTTAATATTCTTTTAAGTCTCTGTAAAAGAGACTAGATTTTGAATGACTTCTCCTGCTATAAAACTGTTCACCAGGAAGCTCTTAATTTGTAATTTAGTTTAATTAAGTAATTTAGTGTAGTTTAATTTAATTTTAGTTCAGTTTATCATAACAAACATCGAGATATACACTGGAGTAATCTGTTCAGAAAAGTCAATTTTCCTTCCTTTAATATTCTTTTAAGTCTCTGTAAAAGAGACTAGATTTTGAATGACTTCTCCTGCTATAAAACTGTTCACCAGGAAGCTCTTAATTTGTAATTTAGTTTAATTAAGTAATTTAGTGTAGTTTAATTTAATTTTAGTGCAGTTTATCATAATAAACATACTATTACACAGAAGAGGTTTTATTTCAATTCTTTTTCCTCCAAAGAAAACACCTATGGCATTGTAGTGAAAACAAAAATTGTGTGCAGGGTGGTGAGGAAAATCTTCATCACGTCTGCCTCTCAATTTTGAAAAAAAATAGCCTTTTGGGGAGCCATAGGAATGACAATGTATGTCTGATATGGATTTGAAATTTTTGGAAGCACAAAGAAGTTAATTTCTAAGCTTTTGTGATTTCCTTTTTAAACACCTAAACTGAGAAACTATGGAAGCCCCTTGTAAAGACACAATAATAAATTTAAGCAACTGACATAATTAAAACCTTGTCTTATTTTATGTTTGGAAAATGAATAACAAGTGTCTGAAGAGGACATCCCGGGGACAAGGGCTGCCTCCAGCGGGTGCACGTGGCACTCAACACAGTGCTATAGCTGGGATTCACATGTCCAATGTCAGGCACAGAATATGTGGCCTTTTGTCATGTTCCATTTTAATCATCTTCTTTTAAATGCTGATTTATTTATTTATTTTCAATTGGAAAGGCCTTTTCCTCATCTTTATTTTCTTGCTGTTGTAGAATTAATCAAGGGCATTATTAACAATGATTGTTTCTCTGTCTCTCCCAGTGGAAAGTACACAGGACATCATTCATCAACTGGTGTTAGACATTCAGGT